AACTCAAGTCCATCGTTGGAGGGCTTGATGGTTCACGTCTGTGTGGTACATTGGTCACAGTGGATGAACCAGCGTTGATACGTTAGTGTTAACTCAAGTCCATCGTTGGAGGGCTTGAAGGTTCCCTCTTCGTGTTGCACTGTCCTGTGGGTTTTGACGAATGCATGATGTCCAGTGTGCACCATGACAGCATCCTGCAGAACAGTGCCACTGGCCCAACAATGTCCTGTGCTCCCCTGTTCTTCCCTCCCCGCTACCCGGGAACTCCTGGCAGCTCGTTATCATTTAAATTCAGCAAAAAAAAAAAAAAATTAGAAATCATGGAAAGTAGCTGATTTGGGCCCGGCTTTCGCTTTTCTGGGCTTCTTGGTGAGTCCCGCCAAAGGAATGTGTGAACATTACCAAGTTGTTCTTCCAAGTCTTGGTGTTGCTTTTATGCTTTTGAAAAGGGTTCATGATTGGTTTATAGGCACAGCTAACACTGTTTAACTTTTTCAAAGTTAGCTCTTCGGGCTTTGGATTTGATTTCTCATCCCACCGTTTTCCCTGGTTGCCTTCCTGTATCGTTCAGAAGGGGCGATACTGGCATTTCTGAGGGCTCTCGTGTTCAGAGTCAGCGTGGGTGGCATGAAGGCACCATACCATCAGCCGTCCAACCGGCGGGTTTACCAGACATTCTCCCCTATCTGAAAAGTCCCACTCTAGACTCCTGCCGTGGTTCCCAAAGCGTGCTCCCCAGGCTGGCAGCAACAGCATCACCTCGAAACTTGGGGAAAATGCAGGTTCTTGGTCCCTGCGCCAGACCTGCTGTATTGGACGCTCTGTGTGTGTGTAGGGGGTGTACACTGAAGTTTTAGAAGCACCATCCAAGTGAGAGAACTGTCCTGAGGCAATACGTGATTATTGATTGATTATTCATTATTGATACCAAAAAACCTTGTGAATATGGGAGCTTTGAGCCGATGGTGAGAGTCAAGGCCACAGGGACTGACGGCTCAGTCCCAGGTTTTTCCCTTGTGTTGTGAGGTGCCATCCAGCCGACTGACTCAGGCGGCCTTACCTAACGTGTAATAGAACAAAGCCTCGGCCGGTCCTGCGCCGTCCTCATGATCGTTGTGTGCTCCGGCCCATTGTTGGGGCTGCCATGTTAGTCCATCCCTCGTTCTTCATGACCTTGCACTTTACCAAACATGATGTCCTTTTCTAGTGGTTGGTCTTTCCGGATGACGTGTCCAGAGTAAGTGAGCCAGGGTCTCGCTGTCCTCACTTCTAGGGAGCATTCTGACTGTCCTTCCTCCAAGACTGATTTGCTCCTTCGACACTTAGCGACAAGTAGGTCTTATTTCTCTGCCTTGAAAAGCAGTGGGGTCCAAAGCTCAGAAGATCTACTAGGGTGGGACGGAAACGTGTTTGCCACCTCTGAGGACAGGTCCCCCCAGCTTTTGAGTCCGCTAACCCTATGTCTTTTTCCCTCCCCTCAGAAGTGCATTCGCTTCAACCCGGATGCGACTGTGTGGGTGGCCAAGCAGAAGATCCTGTGCACGCTGAACCAGAGCCTGAAGGATGTACTCAACTATGGGCTCTTCCAGCCCGCCAGCAACGGGCGAGACGGGAAGTTCCTGGACGAAGAGCGCCTTCTGCGCGAGTACCCGCAGCCCGTGGGCGACGGGGTGCCATCGCTGGAGGTATTCCCGTTGACAGCGTATTGGTGATTGATTCCTGCATAACGGCACAGGGTGGGGAGGGGGAAACCTCAGCGCCACATTTGATTAAAACCCATTGCCATCGAGTCCGTCCTGACTCATAGCGACCCTATAGGACCAAGTGGAACTGCCCCATAGGGTATCCAAGGAGCAGCTGGTGGATTCGAACTGCCAGCCTTTTGGTCATCAGCCGAGCTCTTAACCATTACACCACCAGGGCTTCCACATTTGACTAGGATTGAGAAATCACCCCACGTGGGGTCTTGGGCTGCACCTAATTTTGCAGTGAATTGCAAACTGTTGCATGATTTCTGTGCATCTGCTTTCTCTATGGAATTCACAGGTTCGTTGTAGACAAGTCAGGGGATGAGCAAACCACGGGTTCGACTCATTTCACCAGGACATATGCGTTCTGGGGAGACAGCGTGGTCCTGCACCTTCTCCCTGAATCCGTGTCCCTGCCCTTGGGCAACAGGGTGGCCTGGTGGCCATTCTGCAGTTAGGAGGAGCTCAGCTTCCTTTCTGCTTCTTGGCCCAGGAGTGGCTGGGCGGGCTCTTCCAGCTACAGAGCTGGTAATGTGCCCTTGGTCCTTCATAAACAGTGGTTCATGTGCCATATGGGGCAATCTTACGCAGGCCTACAGTATAGTACAACCCGGCCCCTGCCTGTCTGACGCCTGCTTGCTGCATCCCGGGTTTACAGAGTGTTTCCAACAGTGCATACCGGGTGCACATGTCACGACAGTTGTACAAATAGCCGGAAATAGAGCTGTGGCTGTTGGTTGCGTCAGATTGATTCCAGCTGGTGGAGACCCCACGCGTGCAGGGTAGAACTTTGCCCCATGGGGTTTTCAATGGCTGTGACCTTTCAGAAGCAGATCACCAGGCCTGTCTTCCAGGGTGCTTCTGAGTGGGTTTGAACCACCAACCTTTTGGCTAATAGTCAAGCGCTTAACCATTTGTGCCCCCAGGGACTCCGGAAAGATGGTAACCCCTCCTATTGCATGGCACATGATTATTATGTGATCATACTGCCTCTGACTTAGTCAAACAACCAGGGACTGGAAGTGTGGACTCGTAGCTGATATTTGAACCGTCTCGATGGGTTCTACAGTGTTCTCAGCTACTGGGCTTACCCTGAGGTTAGAGATGTCAGGGGCATGAATTTCTCGGTTCTGCAGTGACTCGGAGGCTGGGGTTGCTAGGGTTTCTGTTCATGCAGAACCTGTGGAGGACTGGGGGAAGAGTGTCGGTGGCGGAACAGATGGGATGCCGTTTAGAAGTTTTGCAATTCAAGGCAGGTCATTCTGCTCTGCTGGCCTCAGTTTGCTCACTGTAAAATGGACACGCATTGAATAATCCCTCACTGCGGGACTGCTGTGTGCCGGGCACATCCCGGGTATACGCAGTGTACCCAAGGATCACAGTTCTGGTCTCATGGAGGGTCTGCTCTGGTGGGAGGTGACAGACTGGAACAGACAGTAATACACGTCAGGTGTTGGTCGTTTTCTGACCCCAACTCATGGGGACTCCCCGTGAATTTCACTCCATAAGGTTTTCTTGGCTGTGATCTTTCTGAAGCAAATTGCCAGGCCTTTCTTGCAAGGCACCTTTGGGTGGGTTTGAACCACCAACCTTCAGGTTAGTAGTGGAGCGCTTCCCCACTGGCACCACCCAGGGACTCCTGGTTGTCTGTTTACCGATGGTAAAAGGTCGAGGAGACGGTGACCAGGAAGCTGCTCCTGATTGGAAAGCCCCTTGAAGGGCAGCAGTGATCTGAAGGGCCCTGACTGCCCCCTGCCCCACCCCTGAGAATGAACCAAATGCAGGCGTGGGAAAGCACCTCACCACAGGGAAGGGCTGTGCTGGGGCCGCTGGACAGAAGGCTGCGTGGACTCCTGTGGACACCCTGTTTGGAGCTCGTGGGAGCCCAGGGCGTGGGGTTTGTTCATGAGCCTCTCTACCCCTCATGCTCGTCGGGGGCAATGGGAGCGTGAGCTTCGCCATCAGACTCTGGGTTCGGCCCCGTCACTGGTGCTGTGCTGCCTTGAGCACACCGCCACCCTCTCTGAGCTGCAGACACCAAGCTGTAACCCTGGGGCTGCATTAGTACTGGCCTCTGCATCCCACTGAGCAGTGCACAGGGCAAAAGCCCTGATAACAGGTGAGCGCCCGGAGCAGTGTCCCGGCTGCTGCTGTGATCGGTTCTCAGCGCTGTGAGCCTTTGTTTGTATTTATATTTATTCATCTCCTTGGGCCACCCCCCAGCCAGGTGGTCGGCTGACTGAGGTCAGGGGGAGACAGCAGGTAACTGTTGCCTCAGGAAACGCTCAGCAAATAGCAAGCAAAGGGTTAGGGTTTCAGAGCTGACGTGGGCTGTAAATGTTTATGGCTCTAGAAACTACATCTCCTCCGAAGTACTAATCCCGTATGTGTGTGTGTGTGTGTGTGTGTGTGTGTTAAATAGGCGTTATTTTTTTAGAGTGTGTGTGTGTGTGTGTGTGTGTGTGTGTGTTTTAAACAGGCGTTATTTTTTAGATCAGTTTTAGGTTTACAGAAAAATTGGGAGGAAGTACAGAGAGTTCCCACACGCCTGCTCCCGCTTGCACGCAGGTTTCTGTTACTCCTGCATTCCTGGGATAGTTGTGAGCCAATATTGATACATTGTTGCTAACTCCAGCCCAGAGTCTAGCTCAGGGTTCACTCTGGCTCGCACAGTCCTGTGGGTTTGACAAATGCGTAATGTCACGTGTCCACCGTGACAGCATCCTGCAGAACAGTGTCACTGCCCCCACTATGCCCTGCGCCCCCCGCTTCATCCCTCCTTCCCCGAGCCCCTGGCGGCGGCTGAGCTTTTCACTGTCTCTGTAGCTTCGCCTTTTCCAGAATGTCGTGTGGTCGGAATCGTGTGTATGTTTTATTATAAAAGAAAAAAATGCCTGTTGAGTAGAATTCCTTTTGACTTTTCAAGTTGGCCCACGTGATGGTGGCCCTGGTGCCATTGCCTGTGGTTTCCCTCAGTGAAATCTGGGCCAGTGGGGTAGGTGATCAGGAGTCCTGGGTGGTGCAAACAGCGCACTCCCTGCTAACTGAAAAGTTGGAGGTTCGAGTCCACCCAGAGGCACCTCAGAAGAAAGGCCTGGCAATCTCCGTCCAAAAACTCAGCCATTAAACTCCCTATGGAGCACGGGTCTTCTCTGACACACATGGGGGTGCCATGAGTTGGCGTCGACTCGGGACAGCTGGTTTGGTTTTTTGGGGTGAGTGATTAAGACGCAGGTGAAGGGTTTGCTAGCAGCCCCCTTCAGAACACGGCTCTACTAGCTGAATCTAGAATCGACAGGTCAAAATCCTCAAACGGGCACGGATCCCATCTTGCCAGGTCAGCTCAGGAAGGTCAGCGTGTGCAGTGCACGCCGGGCACACTCGATCCTGGCACTCTGCGGGCCGTGTTACACAGAACTCTCCGGTTTCACGACTGGCTTATTTTGGCAGTTACAAAGAAAATCAAGTTTCGGTCTGTGCAAAAAAGGAATTTTGTCTGCTGTTGAATTGCCATTTTGTTTAGAGTGGAAGGAAAGGAGAATGAGGTTGTCCTTTTGGAAACTTTATATCAGATTAGACTTACGGCTCCGGGATCATCTCGCCTGCTGCCCCACAAGTTCATTTTTTTTTTCTTCTCCCCCCGTACTTATGTTTAAAATCCTCCGACTGTGACGATATCAAGGGAAGTGGGGGAGAAAGAAATAAAATGGCATTTGTCTGGCACTGCTTCTGTGTCAAGAAGCTCACAGTCCATCCCCGGGGCCACCCCAGGAGGTTTGTGTTTTAATCCCCGTGCTACAGATAGGGAAACCGAGGCTGAGACAGGAAGCTCATAGCGAAGTATTGGGACAGGAATTGGAACAGACGTTCTGACTCAAAATCCAAGTCACTTTCCCTAACACGATGTGTCCCTACCCCCGGGTGGTGCAAGGGTTAACTCACTCGGCTGCTAAGCCAAAGGTGTTGGAGGTATGAGTCCACCCAGAGAGAGGCACCTCGGAAGAAAGGCCTGGTGATCTACTTCCAAAAAATCAGCCACCGGAAACCCTGCGGAGCACAGTTCTACTCAGACACACATGGGGTCGCCATGAGTCGGAGTCGCCTTGACGACAACTGGTTGCTGTGGGTTGAGGCGTCCCTCCCAAGCCCTGCGCCGTCTGCAGTGTCTCCAGCATGTTAACGAGAAAAGGCCAGGGAGGGGCCCCTGGGAGGAGGGGCCAAACGTTAGAGAAAAGGCCTTAGAAAGTACAAAGCACGGCCTTCGACAGCGTTGCTGTCTCCTTGGGCTCTCAGTACTATGTGTCGTCCGTGGTGCCGGCGATGTAATTTTCAGTTCAAAGGAGACGCTGCTGTTTTGGGGGGCACACGGTGGCTCTGAAGTCCTCAGGGAGGGGCTGCAGGAGTGAGCGAAGGTGACGCCCACACCCGGGCTCCTAATGCTTGTTTTAATCCCACACAGGAGGACGCTGACGACACAGAAGCAAACTCTGGTAGGGCCGCGTTGGGTGAAAAACGCCACGCTAATGGCAGGCCGGCCCTGGGGACAGCCAACCCAGGCACCTCAGAAGCTAGAGGAGGCTGATGCTGGAACGCAGCCAGGAGTCTCCTTCTGCCCTCAGCGTCCCTCTTGTTTCTTTTCATGGCCTTTTGGCGAAATACCGCAGAGTTGCAGCAAAAGCTTTTCTTATGGCGTCGTCTTAGGCTCTGCGGTTTGAATGCGTGTAGTTGATTTCACATCCAGGAAATCCGGAGAGTTAGCTGTGGAGTCCCTGTCTCCAGGGAAACAGCTGAGGGAGAGACTGATTTTCCCTCCCAACAGCCATGTGAAATATTTACTTGTTTATTTATTTTTTTCTATTTCTGTGCCAGTTTCGATACAAGAAGCGCGTGTATAAACAGTCCAATCTCGATGAGAAACAGTTGGCCAAGCTCCACACAAAGGTAGGTGGGGAGATGGGCTGTGGGGCTGACACTCTCAGCCTATTATCTTTTGTCCCCTGTTATTATCTTTCGATGTCAGCTGAGCTTTTGGGACAGAGGGTTCCTCTCCTCCAAGCAGACGTGTACTGGGCGCCTGCTGTTTACCTGAAGTCCTCGTAACAGTTAATACTCTCGGCTGCTAACCAAAGGGTCGGAGGTTTGATTCCCACTGATCTACTTCTGAAAACTCAGCCACTGAAAGCCCTGTGGAGCACAGCTCTGCTCTGACACTCATGGGGTCGCCAAGAGTTGGAAGTGACTGGATGACTTTTTTTTTTTATTGCCGGCTCAATAGAAGATAGCATTTTAATGGTTTTTCTCTCTTCTTGCATCTGTATAAACTTAACGAAGTTTGTAACTTAACAAAGGTGTTATTTACATAAAACTACACAAAAGTAAGCAGTGCAGGTTAGCACCTGGGAGTAAGGAGGGGTGTTTAGAGAAAGGACCACGGGTTGCGTTAGGTGGAGCACTCAGTACTTGGCTGCACATACTGTGCGTACCTGTGTGTACCTGCATGTACCTGTGCACACCTGTGTGTACCTGTGCACACCTGTGCTCATAGCATCATCCAGCTGGACAAATATAGCGTTCATCGTAGAGAATGTGGTTCTTCATTAGCACTGTGCTGTCCATGTAAAGGAGGAATCCTTGACAGTCTCAGAGGCTCACATTCTGGGTCCTGCCCCACCCCACCCTGTATGCTTGTAACTCAGAGGACTCCAATAGCGCCCCTGCAAAACACAGGGGACATGAGAGTCGGAGAAGCTGCCTCAAGGTGTTCCCTTCCATGGCCCTGCTGCTCTCCAGGTGTGCTAACCTGGAGCGAGGTGCCCAGAGAGGGCTTCCCCGCCCCCAGGCTCCTCTTGTTCCTCATTTTCCCCATTTATATCCATTTGTCCTTCATTTTCCCCATTGCAGTACGGGCTCATGTATTTTCATTTTGTTCAGTGGGTTAGGATGTCATCATTATTTTGTCCCAGATGCGGGTGGTGGTGGCCTTCCACCTGGCTCCACCTCTGGCACACCCGGTTGTTCTTTGAGCTCTTACCACCTTCAGGCACAGTGTGCTCCAGGCTCTTCCTGCACGCTGTCTGCCCCCACCCTGGAATCAGCGTGGACAGTGGAATTTAGGCACCAAGACCTGGATGCTCCTGGTTGCTATTACCCCCTGGTGTGTAGATTAAAATGCGTATTAGCAAATAGGTGAAATCTAGTTGTACCTTGTGTCTTTGAGCCTGTTAACTTCTAGCCCCTGGAAAGTGTGAGAAAGGTTCAGGTGGAGATCCAATCTGTGTCGGACTGCTGAAGGCTCCAGGGGGCTTCTGTGTTGGAAACCATACCTGCTGTCCCTGCCGCGTGTTTTGGGAGAGGTGTTCGCTGGGGTGGGAGGGAGGGGAAGCATCAGGCCAGGTGAGAACAATTGGGGTTGTCGGATGGTCTCTGGTGTTTGCGTCAGATAGCCCGGGCTTGACGGACAGGAAATCAGTATTTTTTTTTTTTACAGACAAGGCTGGGCAGAGCCTGGGAAGGGTTCCTCCCTGTTGTGGATTGAATTGTGTCCCCCGGAAATACGTGCTGTAAATCCTCACCCCTATATCTGTGGTTATAATCCCATTTGGGAATGGGTTGTCTTTGTTATGTTGATCAGGCAGGGTTAACATAGTGTATATCTTGAGTCAATCTCTTTTAAGATTCATAAAAGAGATTAAACAAGCCTGCAGAGCAGAGATGGGGGAAGAGAGATGCCACGCCGCAGGAAGATCGCCCAGGAGCAGAAGCTCAAAGAGACAAGGACCTTCCTCCAGAGCTAGCGAAGAGACAAAGCCTTCCTCTGGAGCTGGCGCCCTGAATTCGGACTTCTAGCCTCCTAAACTGTGAGAAAGTAAATTTCTCTTTGTTAAAGCCATCCTCTTACTTGTGGTATTTCTGTTACAGCAGCGCTAGAGAACTGAGACTCTCCCCATCAAGGCTGAGCTGCTGATGGTTTTGGTCTCATGCGAAGTGACTGCCTGCCTTCACCCTGAGTTACTCGCTGATCAGGCACCCGTGTGTCTGTCCGTGTGGTCCTGGGCTGAACCAGACAGCGCAAGAGTCAGAATTTACTCTCCATCCTGGCTGCCTCTTCAGAGGCTGTTCTTGTGTGCCATCGAGTCGATTCCGACTCATAGTGACGGTGTGACAGAGTGGAACTATCTTACCGAGTTTCCTGCATATCTCAGTCATCTAGTTCTGCTACAGCTGAAACATCCCAAGGGGATGGCTTTAACAAAGACAGATTTATTCTCTCACAGTCCAGTAGGCTGCAAGTCCAGATTCAGGGCATCAGCTCCAGGAGAAGGCTTTCTCTCTTTGTCATCCTTGTGATGCATCTGTCTTCCCTTGGTCTGGAAGCACAGAAAACTCAGGTCCAAAAGACGCGCTCTGCTCCCGGCACTGCTTTCTTGGTGGTATGAGGTTCCCATGTGTCTCTGCTTGCTTCTCTCTTTTCTTTCTCAGAAGAGATTGGCTTAAGACACTGTCTAATCTTGTAGACCTCATCAGTATAAGTGCCACTAATCCATCTTATTACATCATAGTGATAAAATTTACAACACATAAGGAAATCACTTCAGATTACAAAATGGTACACAATCGTACAATACTGGGAATCATGACCCAGCCAAACTGATAGATAGTTTCTGGGGACACAGTTCAATCCATGACGCTAGACTTTCATCTTTATGGGAGAAGATGGCCAGGTCTTTCTCCCGAGGAGCGGCTGGTGAGTTCAACCGCTGACCTTTTGGTTAGCAGCCGAGCACTTACCCATTGCAACACCAGGGCCCCTTCTTTAGAGATTAACCAAAAAGCAAAAAAACCAAACCTATTGCCATCAAGTCGATTCCGACTCATAGCATCCCTATAGGACAGAGTAGAAATGCTCCATAGGGTTTCCAAGGAGCAGCTGGTGGAACTGAACTGCCAACCTCTTGGTTAGCAGCCGAGGTCTTAGCCACAGAGATTAGGGACCACAAGTACTGGTCCATGACGTCACTCGGCAGAACTGGGGTCAGTAGTCTGGGTGAGGTCCTGGAAACTGGAGTTGTTCAGAGTACTTTGGGTGGTTTATAGCTTTCTAACTCTCAGCAAGGACAGCGAATGGCGAGGGGTTTTAAACTCGAGTCCAAGCTGGGCTGATTGAGCTTACCACGGTCTGGGCTCCTAGCTCAGCCCTGGGGTTCCAGGTGCAGAAACCCATGTTCAGGCCAGCCCCAGGGTCGCCTGATCAAGGGGCATCCTTCCCTCCATAGAGGCAGGTCAGCGTGCCCCCCCACCCAAGCCCCTGGAACCTTCCAGTAGCCTGTGCTGTAGACATTTCTTGTAAAGACATATCTGTTTCCTCGTTTTTTCCTTTAGACCAATCTGAAGAAATGCATGGACCATATTCAGCATCGTTCGGTTGAGAAAATCGTCAAGATGCTGGATCGAGGCCTGGACCCCAATTTCCATGACCTGGAGACTGGAGGTGGGTGTTTGCTGGAGAAGGCTTTGCTGGAGGGTGGGTTCGGTCAGCTTCGGCGATTCTGTTGTTCCTATCACACGTGAGTGGGCTGACAGTTACTGGGGTTTAAGGCTGCTCCCTTGCTTGTCCGTGAGTTCTGGACTGAAGGGCCTGAGCCTGTTAGGCCCACCAGGGCCTCCCTGCAGTCAGCACAATGCTTGGCACGGAGTCGGGGCACAGGCCATCATTGCTGATTACACAAACGAACGAGTGAACGTATGCGTCTCCGGGCGCTGCTGTGACAGAAGCACCACAAGGGGGCCTTTAAAGAACAGGAATTATCTTCTCACGGTTCAGGAAGCTACAAGTCCGAATTCAGGGCACTGGCTCCAGGGAAGGGCTTTCTCTTGGTTTGTTCTGGGGGAAGGTCCTTGTCTCTTTCAGCTTGTCTTCCTCGGTTCCTTGGAGATTTCCATGTGGCGTCAGTGGTTCCCCTTTTCTGCTTGCTTCTGTGTCTAATCTGCTCCTTTTATATTGCAAAAGTGATGGACTTCCGACACTCCCTACATTGATAAAGCCTTATTAACATAACAGAGAAACCCTATTCCCAAATGGGATTATAGCCACAGGTAAAAAAACTAAAACCCTTTGCCTTCCAGTCAATTCTGACTCACAGCAACCCTACAGGACAGAGCAGAACTGCCCCCACAGGGTTTCCATGGAGGGCCTAGTGGATTCAAACTGTTGACCTCGTGGTTAGCAGCCCTAGCTCTTAACCACTACGCCACCAGGGTTTCCACGGGTATAGGTGGTAGGATTTACCATACATATTTTTTTGGAGGAACTCTAGTAGTGCAATGGTTAAGCACTCGGCCCCTAACTGAAAGTTTAATGGTTCGAACCCACCCAGTGGTTCCACGCTTCCATGAAGAATACAGCGTAGGAAGCCCTAGGGAGCAGTTCTCCTCTGTCACGTGGGGTCACTATGAGTGGAAAATCGGCTTGATGGCACTCAACAACATTTTTGGGGACACAATTCAAACCATAACAGAATGCCATGCATGTATTGAGTTGCCAGCTGCCGTCTTTGGGGGAGCACGGTTTCTCCCTGGGCATGTAGCCCCCCAGATCTTACCTTCCAGGAACGTGTGTGTTTATGGACACGTGTGGGTGTGCGCCCACGTCTCTGGGCCGGCACATACGAGCACATGTGCACATACACACACCGTCCTGGCCGCCGCCTGGAAACTTCTTCTCTGCTTACAGGCCTTCCATCATTCTTTAGAGAAATGGCGCAGGCTCTGGATGGTTCCATGAACGCGGGTTGCTCAGCCTCGGCACCGTGGACGTTTGGGGCAGACAGTCCCTTGTGGTGGGCCACCCTGTGCTCTCTAGGGCGTTTAGCGGCATCACTGGCCTCCACCCACCAGGTACCCATAGCGGCTCCCAGTCGTGAGAGCCAAAAACATCTCCAGACACGGTCCCCGGGGTGGGGCACCTCCTCCCAGCGAGGCCCCTGTGGGAGTGGGTGACCCAGAAGGCCAGAGGCCATGGGAGCCCTGTGTTTGGTGTTGGAGGGTGTGATGGGGGTGGCGCAGTGGGGAGCAGGCGGCGCCCAGGCTCTGCCCTCACTCTGGAGTTGGGTGGGTGGGCAGCTGCAAGCCTCTGTCCTCTGGAACTGGGAGACACAGGCGTGGGGCTGGCGGGTGGCGCTCATCCCGTGGGGAAGGACGTGGAGTGAGTGAGAAGGAGGCGGGTGGGCACAGGGTGAGCACTGCAGGCCGGCTCCAGCCTGGAGATGTCCCTCCCCGGCCTTCTGTCCCTCCGCTCATCCTGCCCCTCCCTCCTCTGGTGCATGGAGTGCCCGAGCACTTCAGCTGTAAAAATCAACGAATGTGTGGGTTCTGGACCATGAACTGAGCCTCGGGTGCATCCACCTGTAGCCCAGCCAGCCTGGTGTCTGTGGTCATGTCCCCCTCCTGTAGCCCAGCCAGCCTGGTGTCCGTGGTCATGTCCCTCACCTGCAGTCTCTGTTGAGCCAGCCACTGACCTCGGCTCCCGCTGGCTAGTGGGAGCCTCTCACGCCTTTACCCTGCCTTCATTCGTGACAGTTTCTGGATGATTTGGGAGGGACTTGGGCCCGGTCAGTGCACCGCACCTCTGGCCTTGCCCTGACCGGCAGGAGATGGAGGTCTGAGGTCCACTCTGGCTACCCTTTCCTCTTCGAACGAGCACGACCCCTCTAATTGGTTCCTTCCTAGCGTGAGCCAGACTTCTCTGCGGCCGCCCACGCCAGCGTGTCGGTATCTTCTTCATTTTAAGGGTCTGAATTGACTGTTATTCTGGGCCAGACCCTTACTGAACTTTTAGGACACAGGCTCTGATTTATTCTGAAGCAAAGGTTTGCAGCTGTTTCCCTTGATCCCACCTGGAGTTAAAAGTTGATGCATTGTCACTGTGTCTTGGGTCAGTACCAGCGCTTAAAAATCCTTGATTGTTATGGGCACCGTGGAGAGGTGTAATTAAAGATGATAAAGACAGACGTGCACCACCCGTCTGTCAGCCTGTCCTACTGTGGTGGCTTGCCTGTTGCTGTGATGTTGGAAGCTGTGCCACCGGTATTTTAAATGCCTGCAGGGATACCTATGGTGAACAGGTTTCAGCGGAGCTTCCACACTAAGACAGACTAAGAAGAAAGGCCTGGTGGTAGACTTCCAAAACTCAGCCGATGAAAACCCTGTGGATCACAATAGAACATTGTCTGACAGAGTACTGGAAGGTGAGACCCCTAGGTTGGCGGGCACTTGAAATACACGGTGGCCACCACAGCGGACTCGAGCAGACCAGTGATGGCGAGGATGGTGCAGGACCAGGCAGTGTTTGTTCTGTTGTCCATGGGGTCACCATGAGTCGGAGCTGACTTGACGGCAACTATCAACAGCAATAACAGAGGCAGAAGTGTGACCCTAACCACGTCTCTGTAACCTGAGCAGAAGTGAGCTGCAGGCAGTGGTCCTCAGAGTATACTGCAGATGTTTCTCTTCTGTCCTGTGCCTGTGGCCTTGGAGACTCCCTGGCTGTGGCACGTGGAGGCTCTCAGCTAGGCCCTGGAGGGGTGCAGGGTCCATGACCTGGAAGGCCTGTCCTCGATGAGCAATTCCAGCTCACAGTCCTGGGCCAGGATTTGCACCGGAAGCCCTGGGCACTCCCAGGGGGCAGGAAGAGCTGGCTCACTTGCTGCTCATTCATCATCTATGGCTATGCACTGCAGCCTGGTCCCGCCCCCGAGGTGAGAGTCTCCTGGCTGAGCTGGTAACTTTTTTTAATGACATATGCTTCTTAAAAAAAGAACAATTCTATTGTAAAAGAAATATAACAAAAATATTGCCATTTTAACCATTTCTAAATGGTGCAATTCAGGGACACGAATTATAGTCACCGTGCTGTGCAACCATTGCTGCTATTTCCAGAAGTTTTCCTCACCCCAGACAGAAACTCAGCCCTCCTTCGGCAGTAACTCCTGTCTACCCCTCCCCTGGTCCCTGGTTCCTGCTAATCGACTTCTGTCTGTACACTTGGCTGTTCTAGATATTGTGTGTAAGTGGGATCAGACAGCATTTGTCCTCGTGTGTCTGGCTCATTCAACTCGGTTCCTCGGTGGCTCAAACAGTTATGCACTCGGCTGCTACTGAAGGGTTGGCGGTTTGTACCCATGCAGAGTCACCTTGGAAGAAAGCCCTGGCGATCTACTTCCAAAATATCACAGCCGTTGAAAACTCTGTGGAGCACAGTTCTCCTCTGAAGCACACGGGGTCGTCATGAGTCAGAGATGAATAGAGCGCAATTTTTGTTTTGTTTTTTCTACTTCCGCTCAGAATCATGTGTTCATCGTCCGTGTCACAGCGTGTATCAGGACTTCATTTCTCTTTGTGGCTGAGTCCTGTTCCATTGTCTGGATGGACCACCTTGTATTTAGCCAGCTGGTGAGTTTTTCAAAGCCACCAGCAGAATCTGGCTGGAAACCAAACCTCCTAACTCCACATGCATCTAGCTGGAGGCAGCCTCCCTCCCAAGCCAGGAAATGCCTCCACGCTGGGACCTGGGCTCCTTCCCTGCAGCAGAGCCTGTGGTTCTCTGCCACTCTGGGGCTTCCACTGGGGCCAGAGTGGGTGAAACAGCCCTTCCTGACTGAGTGATGCACAGGGGTAATTCAATCCCGTAGAAGAACCAGCCCATTACAACAGAACACCCGTGTTCTTACACTGTCTGACAGTGGCCCTAAATTTAAATGTTATTAAGTCATTATGCAAGTAGTATGAAAAAAATAAGGATTCCTCCCCCTAAGGTCTCAGAGGCTGTCTTAGTCATCTAGTGCTGCTATAACAGAAATACCACAGGTGGATGGCTTTAACAAAGAGAAGTTTATTCTCTCACAGTCCAATAGGCTACAAGTCCAAATTCAGGGCACCAGCTCCAGGGGAAGGCTTTCTCTCTCTGTTGGCTCTGGAGGAAAGTCCTTGTCATCAGTCTTTCCTTGGTCTGGAAGCATCTCAGCGCAGGAACCTCAGGTCCAAAGGATGCGCTCTGCTCCTGGCACTGCTTTCTTGGTCGTATGGGGTCCCCATGTCTCTCCGCTCAATTCTCTCTTTTATATCTCAAAAGAGATGGGCTTAAGACACTATCCAGTCTTGTAGATCTCATCAATATACCTGCCACTAGTCCATTTTATTACATCATAGTAATAGGATTCACAACACATAGGGAAATCACGTCAGATGACAAAATGGTAGACAGTCATACAATACTGGGAATGATGACCTAGCCAAGCTGACAGATATTTTGGGGGACACAGTTCAATCCATGACAGGGGTCGTCTCCTCCTTTGACTGAGTCCTGCAGAATGAGACGCATGGGGCTTCCAAAAACGGAAAAGAAAGTAGAATTCACCATTTGAGTGATTATTTTTCACGGTGTTTCCAAACTTGAAAATCAAATCCCTGCACAAAGAAGGAAGACTGGTTAAT